ATGTTTGAGCCAGGTCCATCCCGCTTCTGCATCTGCTTCAGCCTCTCTCTTCGTGATAGGAGCACCTTTTCTATGTTTGAGCCAGGTCCATCCTGCTTCAGCATCTCTCTTTGTGATAGGAGAGCCCTTCCTATGTCTGAGCCAGGTCCATCCCGCTTCTGCTTCTGCTTCTGCTTCTCTCTTTGTGATAGGAGCACCCTTTCTATGTTTGAGCCAGGTCCAGCCAGCCTCTGCGTCTGCATCTGCTTCAGCCTCTCTCTTCGTGATAGGAGCACCTTTTCTATGTCTGAGCCAGGTCCATCCCGCTTCTGCTTCTGCTTCTGCTTCTGCTTCCGCCTCTCTCTTCGTGATAGGAGCACCCTTTCTATGTTTAAGCCAGGTCCAGCCAGCTTCTGCGCTTGCATCTGCATCTCTTTTTACTTTGTCAACTTCAGAATTAATTACAGCGGGAGCTGCAAAGATAGTAGTAGCGATACTTGCAGCCAAAACGATATTAATTAACTTCATGATTTTATAGTTCTCGACAATAAACGATGTCTAAATAATAACTAGAAAAATAATTGAGTATGAGGTCAATCTCTGATATTTATAAGATATATTTAGTCGTGTTATTCGTGAAACACATTACTCTTAGTACACAATCCTTAGCCTTTGAGTTCACTTATTACTCAATAGATACAAACGCCACACAGTAATACGGATTAAGTGTATTTGACTTGACCTTTTATCACTAGATAAGGAAATCTGCTGAATTCTCAAGACACAGCTGTCACCATTTTAATGTAATATTACGCCTTTAAAATTACATCCGCAGCACTTCAGGTAGCTGCAATATATTTGTAAGACAAAACCTAGACCACTTGCCCTTGCATAGGACCCTTTATTCTTGGTAGGGCACTTAATCCCATATGGCTTATTTTGAATTTCAAAGTGCCAGATTTTTGCTCCTTTCAATAATTTTGAAGAGTAGAAAGTGCATCTTTGCGTGCTTAAAATGGAAATTTTGCATTTCGCATCAACACTTACGCTAAAATATAAGTGTCCTGCAGTCTACGAAGACCCTTTTAAAGGCTCCAAAGACATTTCAAAACAATAGTACCTAAATTCCTGCTACCACGAAGTTACCCTTTTTGTCATTTGTGATGACAGAAAAGATCGAGCGTTTAAAGAAAATAAAGGACTAATATAGTTATCATTAAACTCTATTTTAATATTTCAAAAGGACAATCAATTTCAATCGCTTTCAAGACTGCAAATGATGTAAACCTTCGTTCCAATTCTCTTAACTGCCAAGTGTTATTGCAGGATTAATATCGAAATCAAGCATAGAAGAGTTGAGTCAAGGACGATCAATTTTGATTTCGCAAAGTTAACGGCTACTTTCACTGCTTCAAAAAGAAACCTTTTGTTACTCATAAATATAATTCATATAGCTTCCAATCTGACATTCGATTGTACAATATATACTCTCAAGAAATGCGACGCTCAACCAATATAATTATTGTCTAGATCATTTCCCCGTAGTAACATGCTCATACTATATACGATCTTAACGCTATAAGATCCCTTTCAACAAGTATCATATCAAGATTAATGTATCAAAATAAAGGGTATTGAATAATAATCAAGACGTCCGGTTTGTGGCTTAAGTGTGAAATCTACATCCGCGTGTAATTGATGAATATTAGCTTCACATTCTTTTGATGATCAAAACTTCAGTTACTTTCTAAATATACAGCAGGCAAATTGAAATTCATTGAGCCTGCACATAGGGAGCGCTAATATTTTTTTAAGAAGGATGCCTAATCGGTTTACTGAAAGCCGACTTCAATTAAATTCGCTCACGGCTGAAGTCGTGATATATACAGGTAGGGTGATTTTGACGAAAGACTAACAAAAAGCCGTTCCATGCTCTCTCTAAACTCCCTTGAAACTCCATTTTTGTATAGTGATAGCATCTCTCGTTCTTTATAAGCAGGTAGTAAAACTAGCACGCATCTTTTTTAACGTTTATTCTCAGGGTCAATTTTGAGTCGCACGGCAATTTGTAACGGCTAGGCCCTTTCGTATGGTGATACCGTTGAAAAGCCTCCAGCAAACATAAAAGACCTATTGCTGCTACAACCTTCATTTTGTGCTCTTCAGCTATGTATCATAGATGACTTTTGCTTCAAGTGTTTGGTAATTATATGTGCATCAACATATATGTATATAATCTGGTCTATGAGATAAGATAACATCATAAAATCATTTGCAATTGAAGCTTGAAGCATGTCATGCTATATTTTGCGAACCTTGGCCCCAATAAATTCTTCATCTAATTTGAATAGGCTATTTAGAACCAATTAAACTTCTTCCTATCTCAAAGAACAATACTAATATAATTTGCAGCCAAATAACATTTGAGATCATATCTAATCGTCGAGCAATTGAAAAGTTCCTGAAGGTCAGAAAGATCGGTGTTCTTGAAATACTTGAGACTTAAAGGATACTAGGGCCCATTTTTATTTTGTTTTGTGAATGAATATCCTCATCCTTGTTGAGAAGCTTATATATTGATAATGTTAGTATTTGCGAGCCATATATGGCAAATTTCAGAGCTTCAATAAGTTTTGAGGAAAAACTTGTAAATATTTGTGTAAGTTGCGAAAAGGGTTTATAGATGTAGTTATTCCAGCAGTTGCGTTTTCTTGCTTAGAGATCTTTCATTCTTTAGCTTTTGATGATTGCATAAGAGTAGTACTATGTGATTCCGACTGCAATTGGTGTGGTGGATTCTACAGATTTAGCCGGAACAGTATAGAATATTCTAGGTATAAATGCAGAGTCTGGCTCTTTTGTTTTTCAGCGCTTGTATTTTCATGGCTTGCAGAGTAGTCAACAAGCGAACAAGCCCAAATGTTTTATTTGAATTGGGAACTGTGTTTTGACTCTCGCTCTTTATAATCCAACATATAATTAGCAAGAGCTTCTACTATCAAGACATTGGTGAGACGAACTTGGGGTGCTCTTTTTACCCTGAATTCAAGATTGGCAGATTAGGCTACGAGTTTGCATTGAGCTTCGTACTTCTATCATTGAATTGTTGTGATATTCCATACTTGCTTTACATTTACGGACCAAATAGAAGTCTAATAAAGATACACCTATTAACCTGAAATATGTGCGATATGTGAATTATACTGTACTTTTTTTTACGATGATCTGAAAGTAATAAAATAAAATTCAAGAGTTATTTATTTGTGCGATATATTTCTCTCACGGCTTAATTTAAATACAGTCTTCAGGTAACAATGCAACCTCATGTCATTTTATGAAATTCTCTCGTCTTGTATATAAATTTAGAATTGATCGGCATCGGCTTCAAGTACATTGGCAGTAACCTGATGTACGTTAATATATATATATGTACTAAGTCCACAATGATTCAACGACCATAAGTTAATTTAAGAAGAGATGTCTAGTTCTAATAGTAATTCAAAAGATTCTACATTAGATGTTGGGAGTCTTGACTCCAAGACGTCATTGCACTCTGAAAAACTGTTTCATGGAGAAAATAACCCAGCTTCTTATATGCCAACAAGTGGTGCTAATACGATACGTAGCCAAATAACAGGAAAAGAAGATGAAGAAACATTAGAGAGGATGATCACCAATAATAAGGGTGTTGAAAAAGTTGTCTCGAGGTTAGAGGAGCGTGCCGGAAAACTTGGTGCTTTAGAAGAACCTTACGATTTGAAAAGAATAGAAACACATCCCGATCCTAATTCTACCTTCAATGAAAATGATCCTTGGAAATACCCTATAGACCAGGAAACTGGTTTAAGGCTTGTTGAGTTTGTTGCTGGTGATAAAAAAAATCCCAAGAACTATTCAAAAGCTTTTAAGTGGTTGTGTACAATTTTATTAGGTTTTACTTGTTTTGTGGTGGCTCTTGGCTCAGCAATTGTTACCGGAGATTTGGAAAGACCGGCTGCTTATCTCGGAGTTTCAGAAGAAGTTATTATTTTAGCATCAGTTACTATGTTTGTTATAGGTTTTGGTGTGGGTCCATGTGTATTTGCTCCTCTCTCGGAAGAGCTTGGAAGGAAAATCATTTATGGTTTGACGTTATTTGTAGCTTGTATTTTCATTATTCCTTGTGGAGCTGCTAAAAATATTGAAACCTTGATTGTCTGCAGGTTAATAGATGGTATAATGTTCAGTGCACCGATGACCCTCATTGGAGGTTCTCTCGCAGATCTTTGGGAAGGTTCGGAAAGGGGTGTCGCAATGGCAGTGTTTTCAGCTGCTCCATTTTTGGGTCCTGTTTGTGGTCCAATATTCGGTGGTTTATTGTGTGATAATGCACCCACTTGGAGATGGATTTATTGGACGTTCTTGATAATTGCTTGTTTCAATTATGTTATATTTATGGCAATTGTTCCAGAGACTCATGCAAGTACTTTATTGAAGCGCAGGTCCAAAAAGTTAAGAAAGGAAACAGGAGACGGACGCTATAGAGCTATAGCTGAGTTGAAAGTCAGGTCAAGAGGGCAAGTTGCTAAAGACTCTTTGCTTCGACCAATAGTTCTTTTGAGTGAGCTTATTGTCTTTTTAATTACCGTGTACATGAGTGTTATTTACGGATTGTTGTACATGTTCTTTTTCGCCTATCCTATAGTTTACCAAGAGGGAAAACTGTGGTCTGCTTCAATGACCGGTGTGATGTTCATTCCACTTGGAGTAGGTGTCGTTATTTCGGCTCTCGTGTCACCGCTTTTCAATCGCGACTATAATAGATGCGCTCAGAAGTATAGGGACAAAGGTGAATTACCTCCGGCAGAGCTTAGGTTAAGACCAATGATGATCAGTTGCTGGTTTATCCCATGTTCTTTATTCTCTTTTGCGTGGTCTAGTTATCCATCGATCAATTGGGCTGGTCCATGTATATCTGGATTGGGAGCTGGCTTTGGCTTTTGCTGTGTCTATAACCCAGCAAACAATTACATTGTTGACTCCTATCAACATTATGCCGCAAGTGCATTAGCCGCTAAAACATTGGTCAGGTCAATTTGGGGTGCATGTGTTCCGTTATTCACAATTCAAATGTATCATAGATTAGGCTACGAATGGGCTACGAGTTTGATGGCTTTCATATCGCTTGCTTGTTGTGCTATACCATTCTTATTTTATATTTATGGTGCAAGAATAAGACAGTTCTCCAAATACGCCTATGCACCTGAGATGGATGGCAAATAGTACTTCAAACTAATTTCAAGTACCTCACATAATTGACTTAATTGTTTTTTTTTTTATCATTCGTCTCTTTGATTAAGACACATGCATATTATTTTATATATACATAT